AAAAAAGAATAACATCATTAATTTCTTTTCTCTACAAGTGATGCCGCAAGTGTAAAGTCTCGACTCGGCCAGGTCAGGTTAGCCATTATTCCGAGTGGAATTCATGAGTTGTTTGGATTCACGACCGAGGGATTACTAAGTGCCTGTCCCAAGCACCTACACTCTTTAATCCTCATGACGAGCCAGGTTTGTCATTGCCGTTTGCTGGTGAGCAAACTGGGGCTCCCATGCCTAGGAAATAGTAAAACCAGGACTCCAGCCAGACCTGCCTGCCCCCCCAGTGCCATGCATGTGTCGCTCTAGGCTCCGCTGGCCCCCTTTGGTGGTTACGAGAAACTTCGGATGGTGGGTGTGAACAGGGAATAGCGATTAGCAAATTTGTTAATTAGGGTCTTATTTGTGGTTCTAACACAGAGGATAATCAGTAGTCTTCAGTAAGACAACTTGACTTCCTAATAACTTTGAAAAAAATCGAGTAAAGCTGTGTTTCCCTAAGAAAGACAAGAGTGCAATTCACACATGCTGAATAGCTCTCTTTGAGAAATCAGAGCATTCTCTCTTTATAGGCAGGCAGCAACTGCCTTGAGCTTACACAAATACTAATTATCACCAGCTCAATTATTAGAGTTGACAACAAAAGTGTAAGATCGCCCCTTGTCCATGAATTTTGCTCACCCCTTTTAGATTTGTGTCTCTCAAGGTTTTCACGCACACGTTATCTCACGTGATCCTCCCTGGCCACCTTTAGGTGGGTAAGGAGGCATCAGCGGGTTATTTATGGGCAGGAACCCACATTTACTTTTCTCAACGTAGTAGTACCTTCTTTCTTTTTTTGTTTGCTGTCAACAGGAGGGGTTGCAACGGCAGGAGAGGTCAAGCTTCTCCCAGTTGCTAAGTGCTTGCTGAGCGAGAGGATTGTGACATCGTACAAGTCACTAGGTGTCTTCCATTGCCTCGTAGCTCTCTTGAATTTATGGCTCAGCACAGCTCATCAGGGAAAATAAACTAACAGAAGGGGTGCCAGACATTTGTAGTTCAGGATACATAATTTTCGAATTACTTGTTTTGGTATGCTTACTGTCCTTCAGCAGCTCAATCGTTAATGTGTTCAATAGAGACTGGGTTTGAGATACAAACTTCTTTCCAAATAAAGTCTCAAAAATGCCCCCAAGCATCTTCCAGACACTATAGCAAAATAAGGATGTCACAGAAGGTGCTTAACCTGCATCAAAGAGAGCAAAGGAAGGTATTCTGGCCCAAGTCATCCCTGTCTAGAGGGGGACCTGGCACTGAGAATTCTAGAGCCGAAAGGCTCTGCGTTGCAGCTTAGGAAGCTGAGCCCCGGAAGGGCAGTGTCTGGGGGGACGGAGACTGTGGAGACAGGCTGCTCTCAGATCTCGGCCTGTCTCCACCGCTTCCCGGCCCTCCAGTACAACGGCAGGGTCTCTGCAACATCGCTGTTCACATCCTCTGTGCTGCAGCCCACAGAGTTTTTTATATGTCCGTTTTCTTGAAGTATTTTTGCGTTGATTTCAACCGGGTGGGGAGATGATGGAGCCCAGGGGCTTTGATCCTGTTCTCATATCCTAAATATTATAGGGATCGGGACAAAGACAGCCAGGTCCCTCAGGCTGAGGGATGGAGACTGATGGACAGAGATGGGGCTCTAGAGTCCTCGCCCTCCACTGGGTGCCACCCACATGGGATCTGTCTGGATAGGGGGCTTGGGGTCCTGATTTAGCCACAGTGAGCTTTGGGTGCTGGACTCTGATTCCGATTGGGCTAGTTTTGAGCTCCTGACGTGGACAAGAACACTGCTTGAGATTCGGGGTTCTGATACAAACTGGGTTAGTGCCAGTATTTGGGGTTCAAATGTGGGTAGGGTTTGCCTTGAGATTTGGGGTCCTGACAAGGGCAGAGTTTGCTCTGGATGTGGGGTTCTGATGAAGGCAAGGTTTGCTTTCTGTTTGGGGATCCTGGTATGGGAAGGGTCTATTCTGGGATGTGGAGTCCTTGAATGGGCAGGACTTGTTTTGGGATTTGGGGTTCTAATGTAGTCCTAGGTACTGCAGCCACTGAGTGTAAGGAATCGGATAGGTCAGCCCTTGGGAATTGGGGGTTTTGGTGGCAACAGGTTCTGCTCTGAGATTTGGAGTCCTGAGATGGGCAAGATTTGGTCTAGAGCTTGGGGTTCTGGTGTGGATAAGGCTGGCTGAGGGATTTGGGGTCCTCACGTAGGCAAGGCTTGCTTTGAACTCTGGCTTCCTTACATGGGTATGGTTGGCTTAAACATGGTTTCCATGAGATTTAGGGTTCAGATATGGGCATGTTTGGTGTGAGTTTTGGGGTCCTATTATGGGCAAAGTTTGTCTCGTGCTTTGGAGACCTGATGAGGATATTTTGCTTGGGATTGGTGTTCTGGCGCGGTCCTGGTGAGCTTAAGAACTGGCTTCCAGATGTGGGAAGAGTTCATTTTGGGTTCTGGCATCCTCACTTAGAGATGGCCCAATGGATTGGGGTTTCGATGCATAAGTGGCTAGTTAGAGACTGGGGGCTCAGAAATGGGTTTATCTGCTCTGGGATTTAGGGTCATGATCTGGGTAGAATCTGCTTTGGGATTCAGGTTTCTGTTGCAAGCAGGGGTAGCTTGGGGGATTTATTTGGGGTTCAAACATGGGCATGGTTGGCATAGAGATACGGGGTCCTGGGGTGGGCAGTTTGTTTCAGGCATTAGGTGTCCTTCGGTGGACATGGTTGCTAGAGGACTCAGGGTTCTGAGGGTCGCATGGTTAGCCTGGGGATCTGGGGTTCAGTCTTGGCCAAGTTTGTTCTTGGTTTGGGGGTCTCGAAGTGGGCAGAATTTGTTCTGAGCTTCACCATCCTTGTATGGACAGGGCTGCCGGAGGATCTGGGGTTCCGGGGTAGTCTTGGTTACCCTGGAGATTTGGGGTTTAGTCCTAGGTAGATTTGCACTGGGTTTGGGGGGTCCTGAAGTGGGCATGGTTTGTTCTGAGCTTTAGCATCCTTGTGTAGACAGAGTAGCCAGAGAATTTGGGGTTCTGAGGTAGTTGTAATTACCCTGGAGATTTGGGGTTCAGTCTTTGGCACAGTTTGCTTCAGGCTTTGGCATCCTTGTGTGGATATGGCTGGCTGGAGGACTGGGGGGGTTATGAGTCCAACATGGGTTTTTGGAAGTTTGCTTTGAGTTTGGGGTCCTGACATGGGAAGGTTTGCCCTAGATTGTAGGGTCCCACTGAGGACAGGCTTTGTTTTAGGCTTCTGCTCTTATGTGGACCCTGTTGGCTTTGGGATTTGGGTCTCTGATAAATACAAGGGCAGCTTGAGGGTCTGAGAGGTTTTGCTGAGGCAGCAGCGCCTTTGTTGAGATTTGGGGTCCTGACATGGACAGGATCTGCTCAGGGTTGGCAGGTCTGACTAGACAGCTTGCTTTGGGACCAGAGTCTTGACATAGCCAAGATTTGTGGATTAGGGCCTTGCTGTGGACAGGGTGTGTCTTGATATTTGAGGTCTAATGTGAACCTGGTTTGTCGGGATTGGGAAGTTCCTTTCGTGGCCTGGGCTGGCTTTTCCATCTGGGGCTTCCAGGGGGTGGGGTGGGGTTTGTTCTGTCACCTGGGGGTTGGGGGGGGTCCTCACGCGGGCAGGGGTCCCTTCGAGGACTGCAGGGTCAGAAGGGGACCCGGAGCCCCGGTGGAGGCCATACACGTGGGAGGGAAGGGGGTGGGCAGGGGTCACCTTGGTCCAGGTACTGGAGCCGCTGCAGGTCCAAGGGGATGCCGACTGTGAGGTCCAGCTCCTCCTTGAGCTCCCGCACCGTCATGTCGCTGCGGCAGTCTGTCACTTGGAACATCTCCCCGGTCTCCTCCAGCAGCACCCACATGTCGAAGGCTTCTGGGGAGGCGTCCGGGGCCAAGTCGAGCGCCGGACTCGCGGCCTCCGGGGACCCGACGCCGCTCAGGCCGGGGGCGCGGGCC